GTCCCTTTCCTCCTCCTCATTCTCCTCATTCTCCTCTCCCTCCTCACCCTCTACGTCCCCCCCACCACCCACACTCTCGCCCTCCTCCTCTATCACACCATCCCAATCACCTGCTCCATTACCCGCTGTAGGAGTTGTTTTAAAACTCTCAGAGAAACGACCATGACTGATCCACCCCAATCCTCCTCCCTTTCCTCTCTTCCCTCTCGTTCCCCAACCAACCCCACCTTCTTCCAAATCCTCCCCTCCCAACACACTCTCCACCCACTCGCTCGCAACCCGGACCTCCGACCGAGCCTCCGTCCGACCCTCCACCCGAGCTTCGGACCGAGCCTCCCGCCCGGTCCGGAAGCTCCCCCAGACCTTCCTCGCGTCAACAGGCTCCAGTTTCAGCAGTCGATCATCCCTCAGGCTCAGACTCTTACCCCCCAAAGGCAGCCCACCCTGCGTAACTCCTCTCTCTTCTGCAATCCCTCTCCCTGCCTCCATTGCCCTCGCTCTCCCCACTCCACTCAACCCCCCCTTGCTCTTCCATTCGCCTGGTGTCCGTCCCTCCTCTGCCAACCCCTCAGGCTCCAGAACACCAAGTATAGCACCACCACCGTCCGTCCCACTCCTCCTGATACCACCGCCACTACCCAAACCACCCTCACCGCCCTCGCTCTCACCCTCACCACTAACAATACAGTTACCACCATCACTGGGACTTTGGCCGTAGCTGCCAGTGCGTAACAATCTCAGGTCTCGCAGCGGCCTTTGAGTCGACTCAAGAGTCACCTCACCATCACAGGGACTCTGGCCATAGCTCTGGCCGTAGCTACCAGTGCGTAGCAATCTCAGGGCTCGTAGAGGGCCGCTCCAAAGCTGCTCCTGCTGCGCCGCCTGCTGCCCTAACTCTTGATCCAGCGCCCTTGTCCCCTCTACAAGCTGCCTCTCTATACTCACTCGCCGCGCCCACTCCGCTATCCGCTGCGTCGGCGTGCCCAGAGTTGTAACCGTAGGTGTACCCGCAGTTGTAACCGTCGGAGTACCTGCTGATGTAACCGTGGGTGTACCCGCACTTGTAACCGTAGGTGTACCAGTAGTTGTAACCAGAGGCGTACGTTCAGGGAAGGAGGCGGAGTGGGGAAGGGAGGATTCAGCTGAACCTAACCTCCTGTGAGCCGCCAATCCCCACACAGATTCTCCTAAATTCCCTTCGTTTGTGTCACCCTCGTTACTGGCATCGTTCCCGCTTCTCCTCCTTTGTACGGTTCGATCAGCAGAGGCGGCACTCGCAGCAACAGCCATCGGGGTATTGACAGTAGAAGAAGCGTTATTGGCAACAGAAGGGGTATTGGCAGCAGGGGGGTTGACTGTAGTAGACGAGGCATTGGCAGCAGAAGAGGCATCACCACCAGTGCTAGCACCAGCACGTGACGAGCGACGATCAGAGCCAGTGGCACCGCCGCTGCTGCTGATGCTGCTGCTGCCGCCGCCGATCCGTTGAACGGGCTCTGAAACTGGGTTGAATGGACCAGCATTGACATCAGTAGGAGCAGCAGAAGCATCGGGTGGTGAGATGAGCCTCGGTGAATGTGTTGTGGCGAGTGTGGTATCAGAGCCTGAAAGGCTTGAGACAGCGACAGGCAGAGCACTGGGCAAGCAGATGATCTCTTGCTCTTGCTGCTCCTCTTGAGCCCCTTGTTGCTGCTCCCCCTGCTGCTCTCCCCCCCGCTGCTGCTCCCCCTGCTGCTCTCCCCCCCGCTGCTGCTCCCCCTGCTGCTGTCCCCCCCGCTGCTGCTCCCCCTGCTGCTGCTCCCCGTGCTGCTGCCCCCCTTTCCACCCCACCTCGGATTCACACCCACCCTCCGCCCTCCCACTCCCGCCCTCAACGTTCCCACTCCCACCCCCCCCATGGCCTATCCCCTGCTCCGCCAAACCACGAGCCACGGATTTCCCCGGGCCAGCCGCCGGACTTCCGGCTTCTACCAAGCCTGCAGAACCGACCAATGCCGAACCTGTGTTGGAGGTTCGGTTCTTGCTGCTGCTGCTAACATAGCTGTCATGCGAAACAGCTCTAGGGACCTTCCCTTGCTCCGAACCTTCCAATGCCCCACATTCGCTCTGCCCTTCCCTCCCTCCCTCCCCCTCTCTCCCTCCTCTCTCTCTATCTCCTCTCTCTCCTCCTCCCCCCTCCGCTTCCCTCCTCTGTCCCTCATCCCCACTCCCCTCACCATCCCACGGCGCACACTCCCTCTCCCCCCCACTCGACCACCTCCCCACCTCCGTCTCCCCTTCCGCCCCCTCTTCCCCCGATCTAGCCCCTCCAAGCACCCCATCCTCGGACCTATACCCCGCAGGGTAAAACACCCCTTTCCCATCCTTCAACCCATGGCTCCAAGTCCCCTCATACCGACTCCCATCCGCCCATACAAACGTGCCCGGCCCGTGCTCATACCCGCCCTCCCACTCCCCCTCAAACCGATCCCCACTCGCCCAAGCAAACGCGCCAAATCCGCTCATCGTCCCGGCCTTCCACTCCCCGAAATACTCATTCCCGTTGCGCCATTTGTACCGCCCCGGACCTTCCGCTGCGCCCCAGCTCCAGAACCCCTCGTACGAATCCCCATTAGGGTAAATTTTCCTGCCCAGCCCGTGCTTTATTCCGGCTGCCCAGTTGCCCGTGTAAAAAGACCCGTCCGCGCCCCAATACGTTCCCACTCCTTGCATCTGGCCTTTTTTCCACTCCCCCTGATACCTCGCCCCAGACGGCCATAGAAACATTCCCTGCCCGTTTTTCTGCCCCTTGACCCACTCCCCCTCGTATACGCTCCCGTCGCCCCAGGTGTAACACCCGAGGCCGTGTGGTAACCCGCCGCCGACGAGTAACCATCCGCCGTAATACGTGTCGCCGTTGGGGAATTCTTTCGCCACCTCGATCGCCTCGTCGCGCGCCTTGGCCCACACGGAGCCGAACGACAGCCGCGCGGTCGGCGCGGGGGAGCTGCGCGGCGGCGCAAAGCCCGCGGACGGCGCGGGAGGGGGCGGGGGCGGAAGGGGGCTGGCGGAGTGAGAGGCGGAGAGGTGGGGCGCGGGGGGGGAAGCGATTGGAGTCATGGAGCCGGAACCGGGACCGGCGGAGGCGGAAGGCTGCGATGATTGTAAATTTGGGACAGACCGGCTTAAATGGACGGCCGTAGATGATGCACGCTGTGCTGATCTGCCATTTGAGCCGTTGGTTGCGCGTACCATGGCGCACGGCTACTACTGAACGGCGGTAGAGCAGGGGAGTCGAGCTATAACGAGTGAATTCTTGGTCTGAAGGCGACGGGAAAGCGAAAGGGCATGATTCGCTGGTTTAGGGTGTCAGTTGCTGTCAGTTGCTGTCAGTTGCGAGCAGCATCACATGTGCCACCATGCCATATCTAGGTCAGGAAAAGAGCGGAAACGAAGTTTATCCATAATGTTAATGATATTTTTAATGAAAACCTATTTTCATGTTTACAATATGCGGGGATAGCTCAGTTGGGAGAGCGTCAGACTGAAGATCTGAAGGTCGCGTGTTCGATCCACGCTCACCGCAAGCATTTTGCCCATGTCTTGTTTCTGTACCCGAATGACTAAATCTCAGACTTTAAGTCCTTGTTACCCCGTTTTTGTGAAATTAAAGCCCGAGGTCAGCATGGTTTTTGGGAAAGTCGAATAATGGCTTTAACATGGTTGGCGAAAGCCAAAAACCGTAGCGAGAGCCAAACCAGCTAACGAGCAAACCTTGAATTCGTCACTCAACTGTGCGACAGGCTTCTCCAAGAATATGGGAAGAGAAGCCTCGAGCCCCTGAAAATGCCACACTGAAGGGCGAAATTGTGAGAGGCCCACTCTCGAGAAGGGGAATCCCCTAGCGATGCAGGGCGACAACGGCTGAGACGCTCGCGACTTGGGTTTAGGGCATCGCAGCCAATCAGCCCTCTAGAAATGCATCTGTGCAATCGAATCGCAGGGCGCGACGAGAGCAGAAAAACGAGAACGCAGGGTGTTGCGCTCGGTGTAAATGGATTGGCGCGATCACATGTGGTAGGTAGAAACAGGGAACCAGCCGCAAATGCGACACGATAGCTCCAGCCACGTAATGCTACGTGCCTGATGGTGTTCAGGAGGAACTGGTAGGTCCCTCGACTACCAGCAATGCTTGTCCTTCGGCAGGTGATACAACAATAAAGCTAAGCGTGCACGTGACACCGCGGCGCAGGAGAAGTCAACGTAATTCCCAGACGTAACGTTTAGCCTGAACGTGGCACGTACGGAAAGCACGAAGGATGCCGGTTGTTGAGTTTGAGAGAGAAGCATCAGTGGGAGGCGTACTCACATGGCAGCAAGGTGTCGAGCGGAAAGGCCTACTCTCTCTCTACGATCTCAAAGAAAACGTAGGGGAAGAGGGAGTATCTGTGAGGAAAACATTCAGTGGAACTTACGAACGCGATTGAATACCCCAACGCCTCCAACTACGACGATAGTGCGCAGGACCAAATCGACAATACGCATGCGATTGCGGTAGGAGGGAGGTAACGGCGAGCGCCAAGGAGAAGACTAAGAGAGGAGCTCGAATTTATAGGGCGACGAGCTGCACTACGAGCGTGACGCAATTAGAATCGGTAAGAGGGTGGCAACGGGAAAATAGATTACTACAGTCACCAGCTCAAGCGTCTTCATTGACACGACGTGTCTTGAGATTCCGCAGCACAAACAGCTCTCGTTGCAATACCCCTCGTGTTTCACTGCGGAGTTTCCGGTCCACCGATTCGGCACTGACAAAACTCAGACCGATACATGTGCAGTAACGGGCATAACGTAAACTGCAACAAAGGAAACTGCAAGTCGCGACTGAGCTCCTACTGTCGCAGTAACATGCTTTAAAGCATCTATAGTCACACCATCCCCATCCCTGCTTCCCCGTGTCCCTTTCCCTACTTCCCCATGACCCCTTCCCTGCTTCCCCATGTCCCTTTCCCTCCTTCCCCATGTCCCCTTCCCTGCTTCCCCGTGTCCCCTTCCCTACTTCCCCATGTCCCCTTCCCTGCTTCCCCATGTCCCTTTCCCTGCTCATCGCGCGGCCCTTTCCCTGCTTCCACGTGTCCCCTTCCCTGCTTCCCCCCATCCCTTTACATGCTTCCCCCCATCACCTTCCCTGCTTCCCCATGTCCCCTTCCCTGCTTCCCCCCACGCCCTCCCCTGCTTCCCCATGTCCCTTTCCCTGCTTCCCCCCATCCCCTTCCCAGCTTCCCCGTGTCCCCTTCCCTGCTTCCCCATGTCCCTTTCCCTACTTCCCCATGTCCCCTTCCCTGCTTCCCCCCATCCCCTTCCCTTCTTCCCCCCATCCCCTTCCCTGCTTCTCCATGTCCCCTTCCCTGCTTCCCCGTGTCCCTTTCCCTGCTTCCCTTCATCCCCTTCCCTTCATTCCCGCATCCCTTTACATGCTTTCCCCCATCCTCTTCCCTGCTTCCCCCCATCCCCTTCCCTGCTTCCCCATGTCCCTTTCCCTGCTTCCCCATGTCCCCTTCCCTGCTTCCCCCCATCCCCTTCCCTTCTTCCCCCCATCCCCTTCCCTGCTTCTCCATGTCCCCTTCCCTGCTTCCCCGTGTCCCTTTCCCTGCTTTCCCCCATCCCCTTCCCTTCTTCCCCCCATCCCCTTCCCTTATGTTCCCCCATCCCCTTCCCTGCTTCCCCATGTCCCCTTCCCTGCTTCCCCATGTCCCCTTCCCTGCTTCCCCATGTCCCTTTCCTTGCTTCCCCATGTCCCTTTCCTTGCTTCGAGGTGTCCCTTTCCCTGCTTCCCCCCATCCCTGCTTTCCCCCATCCCTTTACATGCGAAACCATGTCCCCTTCCCTGCTTCCGCATGTCCCCGTCCCTGCTCCCCCCCACGCCCTCCCGTGGTTCCCCATGTCCCTTTCCCAGCTTCCCCCCATCCCCTTCCCTGCTTCCCCACGTCCCTTTCCTTGCTTCCCCATGTCCCTTTCCTTGCTGCCTTTGTAGATAGCTAGTCTTTCAGCACACCCCACCTATCTGCAGCCAGTGTTGCTTCAGCCTGGGCACTTCTCACACCCCATCCGCTTGCACATCATTGCAATTTATTGCCACCTTTGCTTTGCTGCTGTTGTTTGGCTTATAGTGCCTCGCTGTTGCCGCAGGCACGGCTGCGCGTGGTGATGCTGCCTTTGCACTTCATGTGTCTTTCAGCCCTAACCCGTTTTCCAGCTACTAGCAGGACGTGTTGCAGGGGATCGTTGCACGGCTGAGTTTTTCTGTCATCAATCCATCTGGGTGGTCACAAGGGCAGGACACACAACGCACAACTCGCAGGGTGGGTCAATTTTCATCCAGCCCTCCCTGATTTCTCAGCTAGTGCGGGTTGCCTCCAAGCTGCTGATGTTCACGAATGCATATCTTGCTAGTGCCACATGTACAGCAGTATCTGGTGCAACTGCCTTTGCGGATCATCAAGGTTTAGTGTTGCTCTGTTGTGGAGCTGTTGGCTTCATACTCTGTTTTGCAGTCATCCATCCATATCGTAATGTCCTGCACAACAGCACATGGCACCGCATGCATAGCAGCACTTGGTGTTGTTGTCTTTGCGCTACTTGTCCTTGATCTCCCCACAGGCCGTTTTGCTTCAGCCGTCGCGCTACACCCGAGTAGGAATCATCCATTTCTCTGGGCAGCCACTAGAACAACAGTACATCGCAACAGTCCCAGGCAGGTCAGTTGTCGAGAATGTCTTGTGCTGCTGCCAATGCAGATGAGCTCGTTCTTGTTCGTCAATGTCCGGTGCCTCATGCATTGCGGTAATTGGCTCTGGTTGCCAGTGTGCTACTGCTATTCGAGTTTGCATGCCTGTTCGGACTTGATGCTACAGTCGTGGCAGAAAGCTTGTCTATCATCGGTCGATATGCCTGCCACAGGAAGGACAGCACAAGCACAATCACCTACCTAGGTGTCTCAAATCAACACATTGCTGCCACGTATTGACCCATGGCCTCTAAGTGGGGCTCGATTAGCCTGCCACAGGAAGGACAGCACAACGCACCATCGCCTTGGCATGTCAGTAACTACAAAGCTATCTGCAGCACTAGCTCCTGTTGCCTAGCACATCGCAGGTGTGCTGTGGCTGCAGCCACAGCAACATGCGTTACTTGTGCATCGTGTCTCTCCTACCACGTCACTGCTGTTATAACCATGGCATGTATCGGGTTTGCTGCAAAGGGCACAGCCCTAGTCATCTCTTCTGCATCTATCACAGCATGCGTTCTCACCCTTGCGAGCATAGCAGCACCTAGTGTTGCAGCCTTGCATTTCAATTGTCTTACATCCCTTTCCCATGGGAGCAGCTTGTTGACAGGCCGTGCTGCTGCAGCCGTTGCACTGCTGAGTCTTGAAGACATCCAATCATCTTGGCGTCGTCAATAACAACAACTCATCGCACTGCTGCCTTGGCAGGTCAGTCCTCATCCAACCATCCCATGCATGGGGATGGGTGCACAGCAGCGCGCAGTCCTATGTCATTTGCACAGCAGTTGTTTCTCAAACACCACTGTCTAGTACTAGGGGCACATCATCACATGGTCCCGCTGTCGGTGTGCAGGGTGCTGCGTGGGTGGCCATGCCTCGCTGGTGCCGCAGCGTAAGCAGCACTTGGTTTTCTTGCGTTTGCATTCCACTTGGAACTCATTCCTTTCCCATTTTCTAGTTTTCCGTGCGAACGTCCCGCTGTCTTTGAATTTTACCTCCCTTTCATTCCTTCTCCATTTGCCAGTTATCCAAAGGACGTTTTGCTGTTGCACTGCTGAGTTTGACAGTCACCCTTTCATCTGGGCGGCGGCAAGAACGACATAACATCACACTGCAACCTTGGCAGGTCAGTGCTCGTCTAACCATCCATCACTAGTGCCTCATGCATCGCGACAGTCCCTGGCAGGTCAGTTGTCGTGAATGTCTCGTGCTGCTGCCTTTGCAGATGAGCTCGTTCTCGTACGTCAATGTCCGGTGCCTCATGCATCGCGGTAATGGACTCTGGTTGCCCTTGTGCTACTGCTGTTCGGGTTTGCATGCATGTTCAAACTTGTTGCTACAGTCGTGGCTGCTGCCACAGGAAGAACAGCACATCGCACCATCGCCTTGGCATGTCAGACTACAAAGCTATCTGTAGCACTAGCTATGCATGTCATTTCTGCTGCCTCATGCTCAGCAGCGCGCGGTCTTATGTCATTTGCACAGCAGTTGTTTCTCAAACACCCCTGTCTAGTACTAGGGGCACATCATCACATGTTCCCGCTGTCGGTGTGCGGGGTGCAGTGTGGGTGACCATGCCTCGCTGGTGCCGCAGCGTAAGCAGCACTTGGTGTTCTAGCATTTGCATTTCACTTGGACTCATTCCTTTCCCACTTTCCAGTTTTTCTGGCAAGCGTCCGGGTGTCTTTGAATTTTACCTCTCTTTCATTCCTTTGCCATTTGCCAGTTATCCAAAGGACGCTTTGCAAGTTGTACTGCTGAACTTGTCTGCCATCCTTTCATCTGGGCGGCGGTGCGAACGGCAGCACATCGCACTGCAACCTTGGCAGGTCAGTGCTCATCTAACCATCCCTCACTAGTGCCTCATGCTCAACATTTTCGAGGCGCAGAGTCATTTGCATGGTAGTTGTAACCCAAACATTCTGTCTGTTACTAGGGGCACATCACCACTTGTCCCCGTCAGCCATGGTCTTGGGTGCTGTGCGGTTTTGCAAGCCTCGCTGGTGCCGCAGGCACAGCAGCGCCTGGTGTTGTTGCCTTTGCGTTTCACTTGCCCTATATTCCGCCGCCCATGTGGACATTGGTTGACAGGACGTGTTGCTGCAGCCATTGCACTGCTGGGTTCAGGGGACATCCATCCTTCTAATCGGCCACAAGGGCAGGAGGCTCATCGCGCAGCAGCCTTGGCAGGTCAGTTGTCATAAACCCCTCCCTGATTTCTCAACTATTCTCAGCCAGAACAGCTCAGCGCACCGCAACCTTGGTAGGTCAGTTTTGATCTCGCCTTCCCTGATTTTACACCAAAGCTTTGATCTTGGCTCTGCCACCTTTGCACTGCGCTTGTTTGTTAACCATTCATATCAAGTGCCCCAAAAGACGCAGCACTTGGGCCAGCTGCCTTATCACTTCATATGTCATTTTTCCCTCCCTGTTGGGCATCTAGATGCACGCCATCAATAACTATGCCCTCCTGCCCATCATCCCACGTGGGTATCTGTCTTACCCATCATGCGCATGCATACCCTCTTGGTTGTGTAGTATTCCCGGTATGTCCAATGTGAGTAGTTCGAGTGTACATCCAGCAGCGCAAGCATGCAAGGATGCCACGAAGGGCAGCGCGAACATATCAAAGCATATGCGGCCTCTGTTGTGCGTGCTACGTGTGGGATTGTCCGCTTTGTTCGCTGGCGATGCTATGGCAACACCCGACGACGTTATTCATTTCTTAGCAGAGGCAGCACCAGATGCGACGCTTCGACTCATTACAGCTGGACTAGCCGCAGGTAAGTTGAAGAATGGTTGTGTCAACACATATTAGTTGCACGCAGGTCATTTCAGTGAATACGAGTACTATGTGCACCCTCATATGTGAACTCAATGACACCCAGATCCCGAGTCAGAGGGCACGCAAACCGGCGCCATGGTCGAGATGCACCGTCAAGAGTATAGTCGCATTTTCAAAGGGCGCGTTCATGGAGGCTACGAGAAGATTACAGATCTACTGGGACGACCGAATCGAGTGCTGCCTGGCGTCAAGTTTTCCTTTCCGATTATGAAGCTTGATCATCGCGGTAGCCACGTCCTTCTCCTCTCTCCCAGCTCCACCGACAACTTTCCCATCCTTCCCATGATCCCTATTAGAAATCATCTCAAAGACAATCACCTTGACCCTATCCCGCCTCCCCTCTCTCCCTTCTTTTCCCCTCTTCCCCACCACTCCCCACTCCCCCACGTTTTGACAGCCATTGCACGCAGTAAGCAGTGAGAGCTAGCTTGTCAACCTGCTGCTCCTCCTCCTCGTTCTCAGCTCTCTTTACCTCCTCCTTCTCCTCTGCCCCCCACCCCACTCCCCCTACGACCCTCCCATCCCCCCCCTCCCCCCTCCGCAAATCAGCCTTTGCCATGCTCCAGCAAGGAGAGCCCCTCGAAATTTCCCATCTACCCCTCCTTTCATGTGCCCGACGCCGCCACCCTTGACCACTCATCTCGGCTGGGCTTACCTAGACATATTCATCTCGACCATCTGGAGTGAAGCTCCGCATAAATCCCACAACGTATCTTGGGGAAATCGACTTTAGTTTATAGGCAACAGCAAGTCGTTTTTCTAAGGGCGTGTCATGCTTGGTGAACTTGCAGTTCATTCAAAGCGGCTGACTATGATGTGTCCGGTTCTATAACGGCAAGAGCGCTTTACGGATTCGAAGTGCTACGTACCATCCTAAACATTCTTTGGCGAGATGCGTTTTCACCATGTATGACACACCTTTATACCGAGAAACTATTTTTGGATACTAGTATGCTTGTCGTTGGCTATGTTGTTTATGTTTAGGTAGGGAATATCACAGCTAGGAACAAGCTCACTTGTTCAAGACTTTTTACGCGTTGGAGCTCGGGGCAAGATTGAGATAGGGCATACACAGCACACCCCTTGCACACAGTATTATCAACAGGTAACCCCAATTCACCATATAAACCATTGGCACCAAACAAAGCACGACCCACAAGTCGATCCCTGCTGCCAATCTCCATATCATGCCGCGGCCTCTACTCTCTATGCCATTCTTTTTGCGCCTTCCTACCATGCCACTCCGCACTGACCACACCACCCTGCTCTGCTCGATTCAAATGTCTGTGCCCCATGATCCAGATTCAACACAGTTGCCTGCACAGTGCTGGCTGTCACGCGTTGCAGTGTACAATCCCTCACACGCAGGGAAGGCGGCAACTTCAAATGCAGGGCCTTATCGGGCGCAAGTCAGCATATGATATGGGGCAGCAGGGGAGGCTGAAAGCAGTCTCGAGAAGAGGCTGCCTCGCAGCTCTGCCAGCTGCACGCCCTATCTCGCATATTCTGCCGAAGTGCGCTGTGGGCTGCTGCTGCTTCGTGACCGGCGTGGCGGTGCACGGAGGGGTTCGCCTCGGGGCGTAGATCTGCTTTCCAGCAGCTGAGGGGCTGGAGAGTGGGGCGTGGGAGACCAAAGGAGTGAGTGGGCGTGACAAGTGTGCGAGTTGGGAAGGGAGAAGGGAGGGATGGCGACAGTGACGGGGATGCCAGCTAGCACGAAGGGGGAGAGTTACGGGGATGCCCTGCATGGGCCCACCTTGCTCCCCACCTTGCTCCCCACCTTGCTCCCCACCTTGCTCCCCACCTTGCTCCCCACCTTGCTCCCCACCTTGCTCCCCACCTTGCTCCCCACCTTGCTCCCCACCTTGCTCCCCACCTTGCTCCCCACCTTGCTCCCCACCTTGCTCCCCACCTTGCTCCCCACCTTGCTCCCCACCTTGCTCCCCACCTTGCTCCCCACCTTGCTCCCCACCTTGCTCCCCACCTTGCTCCCCACCTTGCTCCCCACCTTGCTCCCCACCTTGCTCCCCACCTTGCTCCCCACCTTGCTCCCCACCTTGCTCCCCACCTTGCTCCCCACCTTGCTCCCCACCTTGCTCCCCACCTTGCTCCCCACCTTGCTCCCCACCTTGCTCCCCACCTTGCTCCCACCTTGCTCCCCACCTTGCTCCCCACCTTGCTCCCCACCTTGCTCCCCACCTTGCTCCCCACCTTGCTCCCCACCTTGCTCCCCACCTTGCTCCCCACCTTGCTCCCCACCTTGCTCCCCACCTTGCTCCCCACCTTGCTCCCCACCTTGCTCCCCACCTTGCTCCCCACCTTGCTCCCCACCTTGCTCCCCACCTTGCTCCCCACCTTGCTCCCCACCTTGCTCCCCACCTTGCTCCCCACCTTGCTCCCCACCTTGCTCCCCACCTTGCTCCCCACCTTGCTCCCCACCTTGCTCCCCACCTTGCTCCCCACCTTGCTCCCCACCTTGCTCCCACCTTGCTCCCCACCTTGCTCCCCACCTTGCTCCCCACCTTGCTCCCCACCTTGCTCCCCACCTTGCTCCCCACCTTGCTCCCCACCTTGCTCCCCACCTTGCTCCCCACCTTGCTCCCCACCTTGCTCCCCACCTTGCTCCCCACCTTGCTCCCCACCTTGCTCCCCACCTTGCTCCCCACCTTGCTCCCCACCTTGCTCCCCACCTTGCTCCCCACCTTGCTCCCACCTTGCTCCCCACCTTGCTCCCCACCTTGCTCCCCACCTTGCTCCCCACCTTGCTCCCCACCTTGCTCCCCACCTTGCTCCCCACCTTGCTCCCCACCTTGCTCCCCACCTTGCTCCCCACCTTGCTCCCCACCTTGCTCCCCACCTTGCTCCCCACCTTGCTCCCCACCTTGCTCCCCACCTTGCTCCCCACCTTGCTCCCCACCTTGCTCCCCACCTTGCTCCCCACCTTGCTCCCCACCTTGCTCCCCACCTTGCTCCCCACCTTGCTCCCCACCTTGCTCCCCACCTTGCTCCCCACCTTGCTCCCCACCTTGCTCCCCACCTTGCTCCCCACCTTGCTCCCCACCTTGCTCCCCACCTTGCTCCCCACCTTGCTCCCCACCTTGCTCCCCACCTTGCTCCCCACCTTGCTCCCCACCTTGCTCCCCACCTTGCTCCCCACCTTGCTCCCCACCTTGCTCCCCACCTTGCTCCCCACCTTGCTCCCCACCTTGCTCCCCACCTTGCTCCCCACCTTGCTCCCCACCTTGCTCCCCACCTTGCTCCCCACCTTGCTCCCCACCTTGCTCCCCACCTTGCTCCCCACCTTGCTCCCCACCTTGCTCCCCACCTTGCTCCCCACCTTGCTCCCCACCTTGCTCCCCACCTTGCTCCCCACCTTGCTCCCCACCTTGCTCCCCACCTTGCTCCCCACCTTGCTCCCCACCTTGCTCCCCACCTTGCTCCCCACCTTGCTCCCCACCTTGCTCCCCACCTTGCTCCCCACCTTGCTCCCCACCTTGCTCCCCACCTTGCTCCCCACCTTGCTCCCCACCTTGCTCCCCACCTTGCTCCCCACCTTGCTCCCCACCTTGCTCCCCACCTTGCTCCCCACCTTGCTCCCCACCTTGCTCCCCACCTTGCTCCCCACCTTGCTCCCCACCTTGCTCCCCACCTTGCTCCCCACCTTGCTCCCCACCTTGCTCCCCACCTTGCTCCCCACCTTGCTCCCCACCTTGCTCCCCACCTTGCTCCCCACCTTGCTCCCCACCTTGCTCCCCACCTTGCTCCCCACCTTGCTCCCCACCTTGCTCCCCACCTTGCTCCCCACCTTGCTCCCCACCTTGCTCCCCACCTTGCTCCCCACCTTGCTCCCCACCTTGCTCCCCACCTTGCTCCCCACCTTGCTCCCCACCTTGCTCCCCACCTTGCTCCCCACCTTGCTCCCCACCTTGCTCCCCACCTTGCTCCCCACCTTGCTCCCCACCTTGCTCCCCACCTTGCTCCCCACCTTGCTCCCCACCTTGCTCCCACCTTGCTCCCCACCTTGCTCCCCACCTTGCTCCCCACCTTGCTCCCCACCTTGCTCCCCACCTTGCTCCCACCTTGCTCCCCACCTTGCTCCCCCTTGCTCCCCACCTTGCTCCCCACCTTGCTCCCCACCTTGCTCCCCACCTTGCTCCCCACCTTGCTCCCCACCTTGCTCCCCACCTTGCTCCCCACCTTGCTCCCCACCTTGCTCCCCACCTTGCTCCCACCTTGCTCCCACACCTTGCTCCCCACCTTGCTCCCCACCTTGCTCCCCACCTTGCTCCCCACCTTGCTCCCCACCTTGCTCCCCACCTTGCTCCCCACCTTGCTCCCCACCTTGCTCCCCACCTTGCTCCCCACCTTGCTCCCCACCTTGCTCCCCACCATTGCTCCCCACCTTGCTCCCCACCTTGCTCCCCACCTTGCTCCCCACCTTGCTCCCCACCTTGCTCCCACCTTGCTCCCCACCTTGCTCCCCACCTTGCTCCCCACCTTGCTCCCCACCTTGCTCCCCACCTTGCTCCCCACCTTGCTCCCCACCTTGCTCCCCACCTTGCTCCCACCTTGCTCCCCACCTTGCTCCCACCTTGCTCCCCACCTTGCTCCCCACCTTGCTCCCCACCTTGCTCCCCACCTTGCTCCCCACCTTGCTCCCCACCTTGCTCCCCACCTTGCTCCCCACCTTGCTCCCCACCTTGCTCCCCACCTTGCTCCCCACCTTGCTCCCCACCTTGCTCCCCACCTTGCTCCCCACCTTGCTCCCCCTTGCTCCCCACCTTGCTCCCACCTTGCTCCCCACCTTGCTCCCCACCTTGCTCCCCACCTTGCCTCCCCACCTTGCTCCCCACCTTGCTCCCCACCTTGCTCCCCCACCTTGCTCCCCACCTTGCTCCCACCTTGCTCCCCACCTTGCTCCCCACCTTGCTCCCCACCTTGCTCCCCACCTTGCTCCCCACCTTGCTCCCCACCTGCTCCCCACCTTGCTCCCCACCTTGCTCCCCACCTTGCTCCCACCTTGCTCCCCACCTTGCTCCCCACCTTGCTCCCACCTTGCTCCCACCTTGCTCCCCACCTTGCTCCCACCTTGCTCCCCACCTTGCTCCCACCTTGCTCCCCACCTTGCTCCCCACCTTGCTCCCACCTTCTCCCCACCTTGCTCCCCACCTTGCTCCCCACCTTGCTCCCCACCTTGCTCCCCACCTTGCTCCCCACCTTGCTCCCCACCTTGCTCCCCACCTTGCTCCCCACCTGCTCCCCACCTTGCTCCCCACCTTGCTCCCCACCTTGCTCCCACCTTGCTCCCCACCTTGCTCCCACCTTGCTCCCCACCTTGCTCCCCACCTTGCTCCCCACCTTGCTCCCCACCTTGCTCCCCACCTTGCTCCCCACCTTGCTCCCCACCTTGCTCCCCACCTTGCTCCCCACCTTGCTCCCACCTGCTCCCCACCTTGCTCCCCACCTTGCTCCCCACCTTGCTCCCCACCTGCTCCCCACCTTGCTCCCCACCTTGCTCCCCCACCTTGCTCCCCACCTTGCTCCCCACCTTGCTCCCCACCTTGCTCCCACCTTGCTCCCCACCTTGCGTCCCCACCTTGCTCCCCACCTTGCTCCCCACCTTGCTCCCCACCTTGCTCCCCACCTTGCTCCCCACCTTGCTCCCACCTTGCTCCCCACCTTGCTCCCCACCTTGCTCCCACCTTGCTCCCCACCTTGCTCCCACCTTGCTCCCCACCTTGCTCCCCACCTTGCTCCCCACCTTGCTCCCCACCTTGCTCCCCACCTTGCTCCCCACCTTGCTCCCCACCTTGCTCCCCACCTTGCTCCCCACCTTGCTCCCCACCTTGCTCCCCACCTTGCTCCCCACCTTGCTCCCCACCTTGCTCCCCACCTTGCTCCCCACCTTGCTCCCCACCTTGCTCCCCACCTTGCTCCCCACCTTGCTCCCACCTTGCTCCCCACCTTGCTCCCCACCTTGCTCCCCACCTTGCTCCCCACCTTGCTCCCCACCTTGCTCCCCACCTTGCTCCCCACCTTGCTCCCCACCTTGCTCCCCACCTTGCTCCCCACCTTGCTCCCCACCTTGCTCCCCACCTTGCTCCCCACCTTGCTCCCCACCTTGCTCCCCACCTTGCTCCCCACCTTGCTCCCCACCTTGCTCCCCACCTTGCTCCCCACCTTGCTCCCCACCTTGCTCCCCACCTTGCTCCCCACCTTGCTCCCCACCTTGCTCCCCACCTTGCTCCCCACCTTGCTCCCCACCTTGCTCCCCACCTTGCTCCCCACCTTGCTCCCCACCTTGCTCCCCACCTTGCTCCCCACCTTGCTCCCCACCTTGCTCCCCACCTTGCTCCCCACCTTGCTCCCCACCTTGCTCCCCACCTTGCTCCCCACCTTGCTCCCCACCTTGCTCCCCACCTTGCTCCCCACCTTGCTCCCCACCTTGCTCCCCACCTTGCTCCCCACCTTGCTCCCCACCTTGCTCCCCACCTTGCTCCCCACCTTGCTCCCCACCTTGCTCCCCACCTTGCTCCCCACCTTGCTCCCCACCTTGCTCCCCACCTTGCTCCCCACCTTGCTCCCCACCTTGCTCCCCACCTTGCTCCCCACCTTGCTCCCCACCTTGCTCCCCACCTTGCTCCCCACCTTGCTCCCCACCTTGCTCCCCACCTTGCTCCCCACCTTGCTCCCCACCTTGCTCCCCACCTTGCTCCCCACCTTGCTCCCCACCTTGCTCCCCACCTTGCTCCCCACCTTGCTCCCCACCTTGCTCCCCACCTTGCTCCCCACCTTGCCTCCCCACCTTGCTCCCCACCTTGCTCCCCACCTTGCTCCCCACCTTGCTCCCACCTTGCCCCCACCTTGCTCCCCACCTTGCTCCCCACCTTGCTCCCCACCTTGCTCCCACCTTGCTCCCCACCTTGCTCCCCACCTTGCTCCCCACCTTGCTCACCTCCCACCTTGCTCCCCACCTTGCTCCCCACCTTGCTCCCCACCTTGCTCCCCACCTTGCTCCCCACCTTGCTCCCCACCTTGCTCCCCACCTTGCTCCCCACCTTGCTCCCCACCTTGCTCCCCACCTTGCTCCCCACCTTGCTCCCCACCTTGCCTCCCCACCTTGCTCCCCACCTTGCTCCCCACCTTGCTCCCCACCTTGCTCCCCACCTTGCTCCCCACCTTGCTCCCCACCTTGCTCCCCACCTTGCTCCCCACCTTGCTCCCCACCTTGCTCCCCACCTTGCTCCCCACCTTGCTCCCCACCTTGCTCCCCACCTTGCTCCCCACCTTGCTCCCCACCTTGCTCCCCACCTTGCTCCCCACCTTGCTCCCCACCTTGCTCCCCACCTTGCTCCCCACCTTGCTCCCCACCTTGCTCCCCACCTTGCTCCCCACCTTGCTCCCCACCTTGCTCCCCACCTTGCTCCCCACCTTGCTCCCCACCTTGCTCCCCACCTTGCTCCCCACCTTGCTCCCCACCTTGCTCCCCACCTTGCTCCCCACCTTGCTCCCCACCTTGCTCCCCACCTTGCTCCCCACCTTGCTCCCCACCTTGCTCCCCACCTTGCTCCCCACCTTGCTCCCCACCTTGCTCCCCACCTTGCTCCCCACCTTGCTCCCCACCTTGCTCCCCACCTTGCTCCCCACCTTGCTCCCCACCTTGCTCCCCACCTTGCTCCCCACCTTGCTCCCCACCTTGCTCCCCACCTTGCTCCCCACCTTGCTCCCCACCTTGCTCCCCACCTGGCTCCCCACCTTGCTCCCCACCTTGCTCCCCACCTTGCTCCCCACCTTGCTCCCCACCTTGCTTCCCCACCTTGCTCCCCACCTTGCTCCCCACCTTGCTCCCCACCTTGCTCCCCACCTTGCTCCCCACCTTGCTCCCCACCTTGCTCCCCACCTTGCTCCCCACCTTGCTCCCCACCTTGCTCCCCACCTTGCTCCCCACCTTGCTCCCCACCTTGCTCCCCACCTTGCTCCCCACCTTGCTCCCCACCTTGCTCCCCACCTTGCTCCCCACCTTGCTCCCCACCTTGCTCCCCACCTTGCTCCCCACCTTGCTCCCCACCTTGCTCCCCACCTTGCTCCCCACCTTGCTCCCCACCTTGCTCCCCACCTTGCTCCCCACCTTGCTCCCCACCTTGCTCCCCACCTTGCTCCCCACCTTGCTCCCCACCTTGCTCCCCACCTTGCTCCCCACCTTGCTCCCCACCTTGCTCCCCACCTTGCTCCCCACCTTGCTCCCCACCTTGCTCCCCACCTTGCTCCCCACCTTGCTCCCCACCTTGCTCCCCACCTTGCTCCCCACCTTGCTCCCCACCTTGCTCCCCACCTTGCTCCCCACCTTGCTCCCCACCTTGCTCCCCACCTTGCTCCCCACCTTGCTCCCCACCTTGCTCCCCACCTTGCTCCCCACCTTGCTCCCCACCTTGCTCCCCACCTTGCTCCCACCTCCCCACCTTGCTCCCCACCTTGCTCCCCACCTTGCTCCCCACCTTGCTCCCCACCTTGCTCCCCACCTTGCTCCCCACCTTGCTCCCCACCTTGCTCCCCACCTTGCTCCCCACCTTGCTCCCCACCTTGCTCCCCACCTTGCTCCCCACCTTGCTCCCCACCTTGCTCCCCACCTTGCTCCCCACCTTGCTCCCCACCTTGCTCCCCACCTTGCTCCCCACCTTGCTCCCCACCTTGCTCCCCACCTTGCTCCCCACCTTGCTCCCCACCTTGCTCCCCACCTTGCTCCCCACCTTGCTCCCCACCTTGCTCCCCACCTTGCTCCCCACCTTGCTCCCCACCTTGCTCCCCACCTTGCTCCCCACCTTGCTCCCCACCTTGCTCCCCACCTTGCTCCCCACCTTGCTCCCCACCTTGCTCCCCACCTTGCTCCCCACCTTGCTCCCCACCTTGCTCCCCACCTTGCTCCCCACCTTGCTCCCCACCTTGCTCCCCACCTTGCTCCCCACCTTGCTCCCCACCTTGCTCCCCACCTTGCTCCCCACCTTGCTCCCCACCTTGCTCCCCACCTTGCTCCCCACCTTGCTCCCCACCTTGCTCCCCACCTTGCTCCCCACCTTGCTCCCCACCTTGCTCCCCACCTTGCTCCCCACCTTGCTCCCCACCTTGCTCCCCACCTTGCTCCCCACCTTGCTCCCCACCTTGCTCCCCACCTTGCTCCCCACCTTGCTCCCCACCTTGCTCCCCACCTTGCTCCCCACCTTGCTCCCCACCTTGCCCACCTCCCCACCTCGCCCCCCTCTTCCTCTGTGTGCCCCTCCATGGAAGCTGCCAGCGCCAGGGGCTGCTCCTCCTCGTCCTCCTCGCAGCTCCCCACTGCCCCCACACCCGCTCCCACCTCCACTCTGTGGGCACGTCACGCAGCTTCTTGGGGGGAAGCACCTCCCCATCTGCACCAAGTGCGCCTCCCACGGGGTCACGGTCGATGAATGGCATCAGGTCCTGGGTGGTCGTGCACACGCACACGCACACACATACTGTCAACGCATGCGCGCACGCAGGCATGCACACAGGCAGGCACGCACGGAGGCAGAAAGACATGCACACAGATCAAACGCAGGCAGACATGCAGTCAGGCAAAGTGCAGACCAGGGTTCCACAAGACATGTGAGGAGGAATCTGAGGGAGAATATGAGGAGCAGACAAGTGGTGCGTGTGAGTGCCGCGGAAGGGGACACGGGGAAGCAGGGAAAGGGACATGTGGAAGCAGGGAAGGGGATGGAGGGAAGCAGGGAAGAGGATGGGGGGGAGCAGGGAGGAGGATGGGGGGAAGCTTGTAAAGGGACATGGGGAAGCAGGGAAGGGGATGGGGGGAGGAAGGGAAGGGGACATGGGGAAGCAGGGAAGGGGACATGGGGAAGCAGGGAAGGGGATGGGGGGAGGAAGGGAAAGGGACACGGGGAAGAAGGGAAGGGGATGGGGGGAAGCAGGGAAAGGGACATGGGGAAGCAGGGAAGGGGACACGGGGAAGCAGGGAAGGGGATGGGGGGAAGCAGGGAAGGGGACACGGGGAAGCAGGGAAGGGGATGGGGGGAAGCAGGGAAAGGGACACGGGGAAGCAGGGAAGGGGATGGGGGGAAGCAGGGAAGGGGATGGGGGGAAGCAGGGAAGGGGATGGGGGGAAGCAGGGAAGGGGACATGGGGAAGCAGGGAAGGGGATGGGGGAACATAAAGGAAGGGGATGGGGGGATGAAGGGAAGGGGATGGGGGGAAGCAGGGAAGGGGACATGGGGAAGCAGGGAAGGGGATGGGGGGAGGAAGGGAAGGGGATGGGGGGAGGAAGGGAAAGGGACACGTGGAAGAAGGGAAGGGGATGGGGGGAAGCAGGGAAAGGGACACGGGGAAGCAGGGAAGGGGACATGGGGAAGCAGGGAAGGGGACATGGGGAAGCAGGGAAGGGGATGGGGGAACATGAGGGAAGGGGATGGGGGGAAGAAGGGAAGGGGATGGGGGGAAGCAGGGAAGGGGATGGGGGGAAGCAGGCAAGGGGATGGGGGGAAGCAGGGAAGGGGATGGGGGGAAGCAGGGAAGGGGATGGGGGGAAGCAGGGAAGGGGATGGGGGGACGGCAGGGAAGGGGATGGGGGGAGGATGGGAAGGGGACATGGGGAAGCAGGGAAGGGGATGGGGGGATGAAGGGAAGGGGATGGGGGGAAGCAGGGAAAGGGACACGGGGAAGCAGGGAAGGGGACATGGGGAAGCAGGGAAGGGGATGGGGGGAGGAAGGGAAGACACATGGGAAAGCAGGGAAGGGGATGGGGGGAGGAAGGGAAAGGGACACGGGGAAGAAGGGAAGGGGATGGGGGGAAGCAGGGAAAGGGACATGGGGAAGCAGGGAAGGGGACACGGGGAAGCAGGGAAGGGGATGGGGGGAAGCAGGGAAGGGGACACGGGGAAGCAGGGAAGGGGATGGGGGGAAGCAGGGAAAGGGACACGGGGAAGCAGGGAAGGGGATGGGGGGAAGCAGGGAAGGGGATGGGGGGAAGCAGGGAAGGGGATGGGGGGAAGCAGGGAAGGGGACATGGGGAAGCAGGGAAGGGGATGGGGGAACATAAAGGAAGGGGATGGGGGGATGAAGGGAAGGGGATGGGGGGAAGCAGGGAAGGGGACATGGGGAAGCAGGGAAGGGGATGGGGGGAGGAAGGGAAGGGGATGGGGGGAGGAAGGGAAAGGGACACGTGGAAGAAGGGAAGGGGATGGGGGGAAGCAGGGAAAGGGACACGGGGAAGCAGGGAAGGGGACATGGGGAAGCAGGGAAGGGGACATGGGGAAGCAGGGAAGGGGATGGGGGAACATGAGGGAAGGGGATGGGGGGAAGAAGGGAAGGGGATGGGGGGAAGCAGGGAAGGGGATGGGGGGAAGCAGGCAAGGGGATGGGGGGAAGCAGGGAAGGGGATGGGGGGAAGCAGGGAAGGGGATGGGGGGAAGCAGGGAAGGGGATGGGGGGACGGCAGGGAAGGGGATGGGGGGAGGATGGGAAGGGGACATGGGGAAGCAGGGAAGGGGATGGGGGGAAGCAGGGAAAGGGACACGGGGAAGCAGGGAAGGGGATGGGGGGAGGAAGGGAAGACACATGGGAAAGCAGGGAAGGGGATGGGGGGAGGAAGGGAAAGGGACATGGGGAAGCAGGGAAGGGGATGGGGGGAAGCAGGGAAAGGGACACGGGGAAGCAGGGAAGGGGATGGGGGGAGGAAGGGAAGGGGATGGGGGGAAGCAGGGAAAGGGACACGGGGAAGCAGGGAAGGGGATGGGGGGAAGCAGGGAAAGGGACACGGGGAAGCAGGGAAGGGGACATGGGGAAATTGTGACGGGGATGGGGGGAAAATAAGGGAAGGGGATGGGCGGAAGAAGGGAAGGAGATGGGGGGAAGCAGGGAAAGGGACACGGGGAAGCAGGGAAGGGGATGGGGGGAAGCAGGGAAGGGGACATGGGGAAGCAGGGAAGGGGACATGGGGAAGCAGGGAAGGGGATGGGGGAACATGAGGGAAGGGGATGGGGGGAAGAAGGGAAGGGGATGGGGGGAAGCAGGGAAGGGGATGGGGGGAAGCAGGGAAAGGGACACGGGGAAGCAGGGAAGGGGACAGGGGGAAGCAGACGGGGATGGGGGGAATAAAAGGGAAGGGGATGGGAGGAAGAAGGGAAGGAGATGGAGGGAAGCAGGGAAAGGGACACGGGGAAGCAGGGAAGGGGATGGGGGGAAGCAGGGAAGGGGATGGGGGGAAGCAGGGGAGGGGACATGGGGAAGCAGGGAAGGGGACATGGGGAAGCAGGGAAGGGGATGGGGGAACATAAGGGAAGGGGATGGGCGGAAGAAGGGAAGGGGATGGGGGGAAGCAGGGAAAGGGACACGGGGAAGCAGGGAAGGGGATGGGGGGAAGCAGGGAAGGGGATGGGGGGAAGCAGGGGAGGGGACATGGGGAAGCAGGGAAGGGGACATGGGGAAGCAGGGAAGGGGATGGGGGAACATAAGGGAAGGGGATGGGCGGAAGAAGGGAAGGAGATGGGGGGAAGCAGGGAAAGGGACACGGGGAAGCAGGGAAGGGGATGGGGGGAAGCAGGGAAGGGGATGGGGGGAAGCAGGGAAGGGGATGGGGGGAAGCAGGGAAGGGGACATGGGGAAGCAGGGAAGGGGACATGGGGAAGCAGGGAAGGGGATGGGGGAACATGAGGGAAGGGGATGGGGGAAAGAAGGGAAGGGGATGGGGGGAAGCAGGGAAAGGGACACGGGGAAGCAGGGAAGGGGATGGGGGGAAGCAGGGAAGGGGATGGGGGGAAGCAGGGGAGGGGACATGGGGAAGCAGACGGGGATGGGGGGAAGCAGGGAAGGGGATGGGGGGAAGCAGGGAAGGGGATGGGGGGAAGCAGGGAAGGGGATGGGGGGAAGCAGGGAAAGGGACACGGGGAAGCAGGGAAGGGGATGGGGGGAAGCAGGGAAGGGGATGGGGGGAAGCAGGGAAGGGGATGGGGGGAAGCAGGGGAGGGGACATGGGGAAGCAGGGAAGGGGACATGGGGAAGCAGGGAAGGGGATGGGGGAACATAAGGGAAGGGGATGGGGGAAAGAAGGGAAGGGGATGGGGGGAAGCAGGGAAAGGGACACGGGGAAGCAGGGAAGGGGATGGGGGGAAGCAGGGAAAGGGACACGGGGAAGCAGGGAAGGGGATGGGGGGAGGAAGGGAAGGAGATGGAGGGAAGCAGGGAAAGGGACACGGGGAAGCAGGGAAGGGGATGGGGGGAAGCAGGGAAGGGGATGGGGGGAAGCAGGGGAGGGGACATGGGGAAGCAGGGAAGGGGACATGGGGAAGCAGGGAAGGGGATGGGGGAACATAAGGGAAGGGGATGGGGGAAAGAAGGGAAGGGGATGGGGGGAAGCAGGGAAAGGGACACGGGGAAGCAGGGAAGGGGATGGGGGGAGGAAGGGAAGGGGACATGGGAAAGCAAGGAAGGGAACACGGGGAAGCAGGGAAGGGGACATGGGGAAATTGACACGGGGATGGGGGGAATATAAGGGAAGGGGGTGGGAGGAAGAAGGGAAGGAGATGGGGGGAAGCAGGGAAAGGGATTCAGGGAATCAGGGAAGGGGATTGGGGGAGGAAGGCCAAAGGTGGTGTGGGGAAGGAGAGAGGTAAGCGGTGTGGTGGTGAAAGGCGATCATTAGGGGAAGGGCCACCGTGTGTGTTGGTTGGAAAGGGGGCGTGACTGGCCCAAATGAGGTGGGAAGGGAGATGGGAGGGATGGCGACAGTGACGGAGGTGCCAGGGCGACGAGGGGAGAGAGATACGGGGATTGCGAGGGGTCGAGCGGGAGGGAGGGCGATGAGCAGCGGGGACCCTAGACGAGACAAAGGGGGGCAACGGGCGGAAGGGAGCGCGACGAGGGGAAGGTAGGGCGGCGGGTGGTCGGGAGGGCAATGGGAGGAAGGGAGGGCGACGAGACGAAGGGAGGGTGACGGGCGGAAGGGATGGCGACGGCGGAAGGGAGGGCGACGGGCGGAAGGGAGGGCGACGGGCGGAAGGCATGGCGACGGGCGACGGGCGGAATCTATGGCGACGGCGGAAGGGAGGGCGACGGGCGGAAGGGAGGGCGACGGGCGGAAGGGAAGGTGACGGGCGACGGGCGGAAGGGATGGCGACGGCGGAAGTGAGTGCGACGGGCGGAAGGGAAGGTGACGGGCGGAAGGGAGGCCGTCGGCGGAAGTGAGTGCGACGTGCGCTAGGGAGAGTGACGGGCAGTAGGGCGACGGCGGGAGGGAGTTTGATGGGCGTAAGAGAGTGCGACGTGCGGAAGGGAGTGCAGGCGCGCGGAAGGGAGTGCGACGGGCGGAAGCGGGTGCGTGGAACGTACATGTGAGTCGAGCGCCCGATCGGCAGCGCTTGATCCGTGCGCTTCGAACGTACTTGCGAGCGCCATCGTCCCTGTAGAATTGGGGCGTGACATGACGTTTTTCTTTAGGCTGGCTAATATTATTTTTGTTGGAGCGAAAAACCAACAGACTGCTGCAAGGATATAGACATCTCGCTGCCATTGTCTGTAAGCGATACTACGCGCTCTTGTGGTCCTGAACAGCGGAGCGCACTACGTGTTCTAGACTCAATATGGCTGCACATAAGTACAACTTGGTTTTCAAGTTTACTGAATGTGAACAGTGGTCCAACTCCCGTTGACACTTCACGCGGAATCCTTTTTTTGTCGCTGGCCAATCATGCATCAGAATTGTGAAGCATCTCATCCGTGAGGGAACGGAAAGCTGCACTTCGGGTGGTAACCTGGTTTTTGGCGAGTTCATATTCAAGAATCTTGAATTTGGAAAATGCCATGTGGAACTCGGGCTTTAATGAAGTTGCATATTTCGAAAATAATTTATGTTGACCCTTCTTATTTTTCACCAGGAATCCGTACACTGTATTACAGAGAACAAGCCATTAGGCACAAGGTTGAATCAGCCTGTAAGGAATCCTTGATGATTGACCACGCATGCGCTTGATTGGGTCGTTGACCTGGTCATTAGCGAGTGAAGTTTGCGAGTTGGTGCTTTCGCAGAAGCACGGGGCCCGCGCTACGCCACACAATCCTTCCAGCAAATTCTGACCGAACAGCCTGCCCCCGATGACGCCTTCACGCCGCACGAGATGAGTTGGGGCAGCAAAAGTTCAAACCTGCACGACAAGCTGCCAGCTAGGATGCCCAAATGGAAGGTCCAGATGAGCACGACACCATGACACGTGCGCTTCGCAAGAAAGCACGAGCTTCCCACCGACTCTTCCCGCATCCTGAAAGTCTGGATCCTGGAACCCACAACAAGGCTGTGATTTGTCTAGCCTGTAAAGTGGTTTTTCCCATTATCTTGGGCATGACTCAGCTATGTTTGCGGCTCTGGATGCTTCGCGGCTCGGATACACGCCACCGACTGCCCTCTGATTTGTTCCCGAATTCTGCCCTGAACTCGCCGCTTGTCACGGAGCCCCATTCAACCAGAGCCAGCCATGGTCAGCTTGGCGGGGAAGAATGCACTCTTCACGGAGCCGGGTCGCATGCAATCGGTCTCGAGTCGCACATTTGAAATTATTGGAGAATTGAGGGCAGGAACCGGTGTCGGGGCTGTGTGTGTGTGTGTGTGTGTGTGTGTGTGTGTGTGTGTGTGTGTGTGTGTGTGTGTGTGTGTGTGTGTGTGTGTGTGTGTGTGTGTGTGTGTGTGTGTGTGTGTGTGTGTGTGTGTGTGTGTGTGTGTGTGTGTGTGTGTGTGTGTGTGTGTGTGTGTGTGTGTGTGTGTGTGTGTGTGCAAGCCTGCAGGTAATGTTGTGCTCCCACGCAACAAGCCTTCCCTTTCGCTGACTGAACTCTGATACAAAAATGCCGTGGGTTCAATCTTCTCACAATACAAACAACCGACTTCCTGTTCCGTGCTATTGAAGCATCAGCGTGCGACTTCCTTTCAATCAAAGGCAAGAAACGCTTTCGCCTTTGCGTCTTCGTCGAGCAAGACAGCCTATATTACCTTGCGAGCATATTCGACAGATCCCTCTGTCCATTCAACCCATACACCAACACCTTGAACTACAAACGGCTATAAATCGTCCCAGCTAACGCTCACGTGGGACTCAAGAGAGCTACCCTCAATTATTACAATGGCGTGTGCCGCCGGACTCGCTCAGATTCCCTATCAGGCAGCGACAGCCGTTGGATCGGATCTCTCCATTTCCATTCCTAGTAGGCGCTCCTTTACTCTAGCACACTTCCGCGGGCCGACGAACATTAAACGCCACGTTACATCGCAATATACGAGATCCGCCAGTAATTTCACCTCCTCCGCGCCGTGCTGTAACTTTGCAATTGCTAGCGCGGTAACTGAGCCATCACCGTCGTCGCGACGTCACATAATGCCTCCGTCGAACACAGCAGCGTGCAGTCCAATCAGCGGCGGTGCTACGACCACGTGGCCATCATTCACGTCCCCCTCCCCAAGGCCTCCCCCGACCCATTCCCCGCGCCCGCGCGGGCCCCTTTCCCCGCGCCCAGGCGCTGGCGGAGCGGCTTCCGCTGCTGTCTCCCCCAGCAGGCGGCGCTGGCGGAAGGGGCTGCTCGTCGCGAACGGGCTCGCCGCGCTTTACGGCTCCGCTTGCGCCGTGAATCGCGTGGCGGAAGCAGCGCCCACTCATATCACTGACGTCGCCCCGCATTTCGCGCCGCATCTCGCGGCCGTCATGGATCACGTGCCCTCCGAATTCGCCTCGCAGATCCGATTCGCCGCAGCGGCCCTCCCGTTCGCACCCGCCGCCATCAGCACCTTCGCAGTCACAGCAGGTCGCATGGGCGACGGTGCGCGACGTGCGACGACCGCGTCTGCCCAAGTAGCGGCGTTACAGCATCAGGGTGTGCTGGAATCAACCGGGACAGGCGGGCCCGATAACGGAGATGCTTCGCCGCCGGTGGAGGAAACGAATTCGTCATCCAAACAGCATTCAGAGTCCTCGGCGGTGGTAATGGCGGGGCTGGAGCTTGCAGCCTACAGCTTCCTGGGAGACCTGCTCTCGCAGTTCACCAACGCCGATACCGCCTCCACTCCAATGCTCCTGCTGCTCTCGGTACGTAACGTGATGACCAGTGTTCACTACAATCCGAGTGACCAGAAGGCAGAGTGACCGCCTGCCGCACTCCAATGCTCCTGCTGCTCTCGGTACGAGACGTGATGCTCCTAACCTCGGGCTTTCAGCCTGCCGCACCCTGAGTTTTCTGCACCATGCATGAATATGCGAATGCTATAACGCTTATGAATCTCCTCCTTGCATTCGCGTCACTCCCATGCTTCCGCATCTCGTTGCTTCATGCTCACGTATTCCAGTATAATCAATCTCTTTCTGATTGCTATTCCCTCATCCCCCTCTTCCCCTGCAGCTGCTCATCCTTCCCGTCCTCCAACTCACCGACCATCTCCGCCATGGAACGGCCAACGACTCTGCCGTTCCAAGCAACAGCAGCACCACACGCACGTCGCGCGCACCGCTCGTATCCGCCCTCATCGCAATGGTGGCGATCGTTGCAGCCAGCGGGGCCACCACAGGAGGCGCCGCTGCAGCTCCTTCCGCTCTTCTCACCACCCTGGGGCAATCCCTGTCCCTGTCAACCCCTTGGCCCGTGCTCGCCTGCCTTCTCTCCCTCCTCTCCTTACTCCGCTGCGAGGCCCACTGCACCCGCTTCGACCCGCTCGCTCTCACCGCTGTCCAGACCTCCTCCCTCGCCTCCCTCTCCCTCCTCTCCTCCCTCCTCTTCAACCTCCTCTCCTCCTCCCCAGCCTTCCCACGCAGCATCCTACCGGAAACCCTCACCAGTGCCACACACGTGGCAGGCACCAGTGGAGCAGCGCTGCTTCCACTGATATATAGCGGACTCGTGTGCTCCGGGCTTGGCACGTGGATGGAAATGAACTGTCTGCAAGACCTACCAGCACCGGCTCTCATGTTAATATTCACCTCTATTCCAGTCTGGGGAGGGTTGCTGGCTGCGTTGGCGCAGGGAGAGGTGCCAGAGGCAGGGCTAGGTGTGGCTGGGCTCGTGATAGCTGCTGTGAATGCCGGTGCATGGGCTCTCATGTCACGCCATGGCACTGCCGTTGCTTCTGAGACCAGCAGTAGCAGCAGCGGTCGCAGTGGCGGCACAGGCAGCTATGCAGAACATGAGAGCTTTGCTGTGCAGGAAAACGGTCCGGTTGCAGCAAAGGCTGCAGAGAATAGTGCGGAGAAAACAGCCGAGAGTGCTGCCCCTGTTCCAGTGGAACAGTTGAGCAACTCCCTGGTAGCGTCTCAGCTAAAGGTGCCTTTTTACTCCACCAAGGCTAAGAGCCTGCTGCTCAAACTGAAACTTAAAGCCAAGGTGGCTGGAGCTAAGGTGCTGGGAGGGAAACTGGGCGTGAAAGCAGCAGCTGCTGGTGCGTACAGTGCCTCCCATGTGCTGACATCGGCCGTGGGGAGTGGGAGTTTTGGCGCGGGTACTGCTGATGCTGCTGCAGCTGCTGCTGCAGGCACGGTGGACGCCCTGTCTTCGCTTGGTGGTGGTGTGGTCATGCCATCTTTTGTCAGCAGCAGCGGCAGCACCATCGGTAGCATCGGCGGCAGCATGTCGTTTGTGCACCACGCTCCTAAGGTCATGCTGAGCGTCCTTCCAGCCACTCCTCCTGCTGGGCTTTTCTCCTCCGTGCATCTGCACGGTCTACTTCATGTCCTTCCCTCCTCCATTTCCCACCTTGTACAGTGATAGGGATGGTGAGGGAGACGTGACGGGAGGGTTAAGGACAAGAGATGGGATGGAAAGAGCAGGTGGTAACTACCTTTTTGTGGGAGTGGTTGGTACTGAATGGGTTTTTCTCCATTCAGAACCAGCCATTTGCACCGGATTTTGTTTTTAGGGATTGGGTGCTTGCTCCAACAAGCGTTGAAATTGTTGGCCAGGATAGCAGATTCTTCTGTCCTGACCAGTAATTTCCACGCCTGTTATGCTTATGTTTGTATGTGTATTATTAAAAAAGAATGTACACAGTTCACTTCATGACTGCAAGCCTGGCTTTCAGGATGTTTAGATGAAAGGTTGTGGAGTGAAAACGTTATTTGAATAATGTTTTAGCCTATTTATCGCCTCGAGTTTTCCAACCTCAGTGCTTAGGAGGCAGCAGTTTTCACCCATCCCCTGCTGCGGCATTGGCTCCGCGCAGCATATGTGATCGGCCGCTCCGCAGGCATGCATCTGGTGGAATACGCCTACTATTCTTTGCGATTGACCTTTCGCCGCTGCGAAAGTAGCTGCGGAAGGAGTTTTCAAGCTTCAAATCCCCATCACCCGCCGATTTTTGAATGCTAAGCACCGCGAGTAGTCTAGACACTTCGGTTTGCCACCTCCCATGGCGGATTTCGAGGTCGATTCTCGGCACCCGCGTCCGCCGCAGCTTGCGCGGGACGCGCGGAGCGTACAGGATGCCACGGCATCATCTGGTGGCGTGACGTGGCAGGCGTCGTACCCATCTTCGTCATCATCGTGGTGGCGAAATTTCCTAAAAGCAGCCGTCCACGTCAAGATTCCCTCCACCGCTGACGTGGCAGGTCTAGCTGGCAGCGGTGCCGTTGCCACGCCCCCCGCTGCTGCAAGCACCAGCGCCAGCGCGAGCGGCATTCGCGGCGCCACTAGCGCCGGCGGAGGCAGCAGCAGCGGCAGCGCAGGTTCAAGGGTAATTCACCCTTTTGAGCCCGTGAGCCTTGGGGGTACCGAGAACAACCCGTTTCTGGCGGAAATCTACCCAATCCGCGAGGCGGATGAGGCAGGCAGCGCAGGGAAAGGGAAAGCAGGAAGAGATGGCATCAGCCATCCCCCACACGCGAATAGTGCCGACCAATCAGCAAACGCCTTGCAATCAGCATCAGCATCCGCCCAGGAATCGGCATTCCCTATGCCGCCTCCTCCCAAGCCCCCTGCGCTCACGCGCTCTCTCTCCCTCCTAGACCTTATCCTCCTCGGCATCGGCGCTTCCATTGGCTCAGGCATCTTCGTCGTGACAGGTGTCGCCGCGCGATTGGCCGGGCCGGCCGTGTCCTTATCCTTTCTCCTAGCAGGCCTGGCTTCTCTCCTAAACGCGCTCTGCTACGCGGACCTTGCCGCCCGCTTCCCCGGCCGGGTGGGCGGCGCGTACCTCTACGCGCACGCGTGCCTCGGGCAGCTCGCGTCGTTTGTCCTGTTCTGCCACTTGGTGCTGGACTACCACGTGGGGGCGGCAGCGATTGCCAGGAGCCTGGCGAGTTATTTGGCGTCATTGGTGGAGGTGGCATCTGGTGCAGGCCTACCTGCCGTGCTCGCACCAGGAGGCATGCCTGTTTCCATCCCCTTGCCGTTTGTACCCACACTGGACCTCTCGATCAATCTCGTCGCGCCAGCTGTCCTGCTGCTCATCTCGTGGCTGCTGTGCCGCGGTGTGCGGGAGACATCACGCGTGAATGACGTCATGACATCGGTCAAGGTGGCGATAGTGGTGCTGGTGGTGGCTGTGGGTGCAGGGCATGTGAACCCCGCTAACTGGTTCCCCTTCTTCCCCCCACCGCTCGACTCCCTCCTGAGCTCTGCTGCTCCTGCTGCCGCCTCTGCTGTCGCCCCCACTGCCGTCGCAGCCACAGCCGCTGCCGCTGCCACTGCCACCGCCCCTGCCACCGCTGCTGCTGCTGCTGCCACCGCCGCCGCTGCTGCAAGCAGCACGGGCAGCACCAGCATGGGTGGTGTGCAGGCGATGCTATCCGCCTCTGCACTCGTCTTCTTCTCCTACATCGGATTCGATGCCGTCGCCAACACAGCAGAGGAGTCCCTCCATCCCCGCCGCGACGTGCCCCGCGGCCTCCTCCTAGCCCTCGCCGCCTGCGCTCTCCTCTACGTCTCCGTCTCCCTCGTCCTCACCGGCATGGTCCCGTACACCCTCCTCGACCCCGCTGCACCGCTCTCCACCGCGTTCGCCTCCCTCGGGCTGCGTTTCATGGAGAGGATTATCGACTTGGGGGCGGTGGTGGGGTTGACAACAACGCTGTTGACTGGGCTGTATGTGCAGTCTCGCATGTATCTGGCCTTGGCTAGGGATGGGATGCTACCCGTGTGGTTTCTGCAGGTGAACGCGGGGAGCCATGTGCCGGTGCATGCGCAGTGGTGGGTGGGGGGAGTGGCGGCGGCAATGGCGGCGGTGTTTGACGTGGGGAGGCTGTCGCATATTCTGTCGGTGGGCGTGTTACTGAGTTACTCCATAGTGTGTATGTGCGTGCTGGCGTTGAGGGTTGAGTCGTACCGTGGAGGGGGGAGTGGCTGTGTTGGTGTGGCGGAGGAAGGGGAAGAACGATTGGATGATGCACTTTTGGCACACGAGGATATACCAGCAGGGTCTATGAAACCAGTCACTAGAAGCAGGATGACTGGTGGCAGTGGCTCATCTGCTACACACATTCCGCCACCTCCGCATTGGATCGCCCAATGGGGTGGCGACAAGTGGCATGAGGCTGTGGTGTTTGTGTGTGCCTTAGTCGCCTGCGTCCTTGCCTTGGGATTCGCCACAAGGTTCGCAGCACCTTGGCTGCTCCTCACTCCTCTCCTTGTCGTATCACTCGCCACGTCTGCACCGTTGTTCCTCTCTCAATGCTACAGTGTGCCGGCGTCAGGGTTTGCGTGCCCGTGGGTCCCGTTTGTGCCACTTATGGGAATTTGTGTGAACATGTATCTGCTTGCGCAGACCCACATGGTTGCATGGGTGCGGCTGTTCGTCTTAACAGTGGTGGCGCTGGTTGGATTCTGGTGGAATGTGAGGCGATCAGTACAAGGATCTTGTGGTTGATGTAATGTTCTGTGCTGGATCCCAGTGTACATATACCACTACCATCTCAATTTCGATTTTAGAAAATTATTTCTTAAGAGGTGTTTGTGTTGACTCTTACGTGTGTTGTCAGTTTCCTTTTCCGAAGTTCCTCTTGACGGTTATGGCAGGTGGGTTTGCCCCCAAAACGTTTCTCGAACGATACCTTTATGCACATCACAGATGCGACAATCGACCACAATCTGACGATGGATACCAGCCACTGGCGAACTGCAAGCTGCTGTCGTTATCGTAGACGCACTGTACAAGTTCTCGCAAGACTTGTCAGAACCAAGTCCTTGTGTCCACAACTTTCAACCTTGAAATGAAAGCGAAAGCGTGCGAGCTTCTCGGCTATGGTTACCCCGGAGTAGCGGACCTTGGGAATTTCGTGCTGGGCGAAACCAGCTAGCTACAGTGAGGCATTCCGAACCAACTCCCTCCCTCCCCACTGAGATTTTCTTCCCACCTGTTTTCCCCTAATTTCATGGCGGCCCTAGATTATGCCGCCTAGGATCCTAATGCCCGCAGACGTTCTGGCTTTGCTACCACTGCGATAGCTACTAAGTAGTGCGGAACGGATACTTTCGTTCAGAAACTGTGCCGCATATCGCGGGTAACGAATTCGTTTATTGCGTCTACGGCTTATCTCTCTCTGCGAGTTCTGACCTAATGAACCGAGCAGTACCTCGCAGAGCTCTCATTGAGTGAACGACCAATGCGAACGCCAGGGGTGTGGATTTCGTTTATTTGCGCATGGCAGTGCAACGATATAACAAGTTTACATCGCTAGTCAGTGCTTAATGCACGTATAAGCAGCCTACTTTCTGCCTTCTTATTTATGCGCTCGACCTCTCAATATTCTTAGCCGTTTTCGTTGCGTCCAGGCGTAGTTTTGATGCGCAAATCTCTTCCGTTTCTTTTAGTCTTTTAGTCTTAGCCATTCCTTTCGCTCTTCACACACCTAGTGGCGACGACGCGATGCGTCTTGACACCTCGCGGTTCTAGCAACAACGCCACTTATCGTGCTCATTCAATCTTCCTTTCCAAATACTTCTCTCGGCGTGACTCTCGCAATGAGTGGCCTAGACGCTCCCATGATGGACCTTCCACGGCCCAGGTATCAAGGGGTGAGTTGGTCTCCTCTCCTCACCTTTCGTGAATTGCCTTCAAGATCGCTCGCTGCGAGGTGAAATGCCTTCAGGATCCTCATCCTGTCGCATCAGGATGAAATGCCTCGGGGATCGATGCAGTGACGCTCGCGGCGAACCTGTCGCAATGAGTGGCCTAGACGTTCCTAATATAAGCTTCTTAGGAACCAAGGGGTGAGATGACCACGTGACCTTCCTCCGAATGGCCTTTGATATCGTTTTTATAAACAGCTTGAATCCAGGCAAGTTCCTTGCAATGAGCATCTTAGACGTTTTCGTGATGGTATGGGAGCGGCTCATATGTTGCTTCGCTCCCCTCGTTCTCCCTCCCCGCTCTCCTCCCCCCCACTTCGTCTCTTTCGACCGCCGCAATGCGTGCGTCCAATCACCATCCGACAGGTGTACAAGAGTGGCCATCTATCCGTCTCGTCAAAAGGTGAGCCTCCACGTACCAGGGAAGAAAACTTTGAACAGTGCTGACATTGTACCGGAATTTTGAGCCAATGGATTCTCTCAACCGTCCTGACCGCCGCTTATGCCTTCTTTTATGTCTGGGTGGAAGTCATGGAAGCGGCGAGGGTTCCTCTCCACTCGTTTCGTTTTCGCCTTGATTCTCCCACGTCTTCCATTTCCTCGCATTTCCCATTTCCCACCACTTCTCGTCCCCCCTCTCCCTGGCAGGGTTGGGCTGGAAGTCATGGAAGCGGCGCTGGTTCCTCCTCACGCGCTCCTCCCTCATTTTCTTCAAGCACGAACCAGTGAGTGTCATTGTAACGAGTCAGTAAGTATGACTGTAAAGACTCAGTAAGTGTGACTGTAACGACTCAGTAAGTGTGACTGTAACGACTCTGTAAGTGTGACTGTAACGACTCAGTAAGTGTGACTGTAACGACTCTGTAAGTGTGACTGTAACGACTCAGTAAGTGTGACTGTAACGACTCAGTAAGTGTGACTGTAACGACTCTGTAAGTGTGACTGTAACGAACCAGTGAGTGGGACTCGAGCCATTGTGATAATGACGAGCAATGCATGCAATTTCGTTGCTTGCCTATCTCCTCCCTTACTCTCTCTCTCTCTCCTATTCTCCCTCCACTCTCCCTCTCCCTCCGCTCTCCTCGCAGAGGGGTCGCATTGACATTTCTACTGCGATCGGAGGCATTGAATTCAACAACGCCGGCAAGTAAGACCGCCCCTTCCTGTCTCGCACCCTCTATGTGGTCCCATCATGCGGTGCTCTCTTTCTGAGGCGCCTAAATAATCGTTGCATTGACATCTCGATTCTCAACTGCCATAGGCGGCATCTCGATTCTCAACGATGCCGCCGGCAAGTAAGACTGCCCTACCCTCCCTGTCGCCCTCTACTTGCTTGGTCCCCATCCGCCCTCGTCCCAATCTGCTTTAGTCCCCGTCTGCGCTTCCCTCGCATCACGTGCTATCATCCAATGTGTGCAATCTAATGGTGGTGTTTTCCCTATACGTTCCTCTATGTGCGCCCATCCCATGTGTGCAACCCACAAGGTGTACATCAAGCCCAGCAAGAAGCAGCTCTCTGTCACCTTTCCCTAATCCTATTTCACTTTCCACGTGTTCTCATATGTGTTCCCCTCGCGTGCGCCCATCCCACGTGTGCAACACCCAGGGTGCACATCAAGCCGGACAAGAAGCAGCTCTCCCTCACCTTCCCGGACGGCCATGCCTTCACCTTCAAGGTCAGCGTCACGCGCCTTGCCCGTTTCGTGCAATAATACCTGCAGGAAACTTGTTAGTCGACTAAAAAAATCCTTGCACTGGCGGCCATGCATTCACCTTCAAGGTCAGTGTCACGCGCTCTGCCTTGCCCCCCTCCCTTGACCGCTGCGTTGCCCTATATAGTCTGTGGTATTAACATGCCGTCTCATCACCCCTCTCTATGCCTTCTCTTACCCGTACAGACGGACACACTGGAGGATCTGGAGGAGTGGAGGGACGCGCTAGAGGACGCCATCTCCAAGGCGCCCCCTCCCTCCGTGATGATGGGTCTGCCCCGTGACACACTCTTCAGAGGAGACGGGCTTGACATTGGTGACAATGACGGGCCTCCAGGACCAGGTACGTGCTTTCTATCCCAACTAGCCCTGGGCTTAGTCATACATAGTATGGTTATTCTATTCCTCCCTCCGTGATGATGGGTCTGCCCCGTGACACGCTCTTCCGAGGGGATGGGCTCGACATTGGTGACAATGATGGCCCCCAGGACCAGGTATGTGGTTTCTGTCCTGGCCCTGGGATCACTCATGCGTGCATGGGATGGGCCTAGGCTGCCCAGTCATGCGTCCCTTTCTCCGCCCATGCCCCCATCCGCCAGGCAAGGAGCGGCGGCTGCGACCCATGCTGCTGTGCCGCCCCTTCTCCCCTTCCCCTCACCTCATTCCCTCGCCTCTCCACCATCTTTCTAGCCACAGTATCCCCTCGCTTCTCCACCATCTCCCTGCCCCCATCTCCCCCCCGCTCCCACCCTCCAGGCAAGGAGCGGCGGCTGCGCTCTATGCTGCTCTGCCGCCCCTTCTCCCTCGCACTAGAGGACGTCAACGGCTCGCCCTCCTTCCTCGAGAAGGCTCTCCAGTTCATTGAGGTTCACGGTGAGCTGCTCTGTCTCTGCTCATGCCCTTATGTCCTCCTCTTAAGTGCCCTACACCTAGCGCCAGTCAACGGCTCGCCCTCTTTCCTCGAGAAGGCGCTGCAGTTCATTGAGGTCCACGGTGAGTTGCTCTGTCGCATACGCATGCATGCTCACTCTCATGTGTCCTCACTCCTCCTCTTGAGTGCCCTACACCTAGAGACAGTCAACGCCTCGCCCTCTTTCCAGCACTGCAGGTTTTTTAAGTCCCCACGACGAATCTCTTGCCCTTGTGCTCGCTCTCATGAACCCCCTCTGTGTGCTCTCGACCTCTTTTCTGTGCGGCAGGAGGCAGCTGAAGGGTATTCAGCGAACAGCAGCGGATGTGGAGCAGGAGGAGAGGCGGCTGAACGAAAGAGCTACCAGCCCCTGCCTCTCATGTTCGCCTGTTTTTTCTCCCCCGCTCTCTTCTCCCGTTGCTCCCCACCTCTGTGCTACCAGGGGTGAAGCTGGAGGGTATTCTGCACGCTGCAGTGGATGTGGAGCGGGCGGAGAGGCGTTTGAAGGAAAGATCTTGGCTTTAGCCCCCCTCTCGTGCTTCTCATGGTCGCTCAACCTCCTCTTTGTGTCGCCAGGAGTGAAGCTGGAGGGCATTCTGCGAGCAGCAGCGGACGTGGAGCAGGTGGAGAGGCGTTTGAAGGAGTACGAGGAGGGGCACACAGAGTTTGAGGATGGGGAGAACCCTCATGTCGTGGGCGACTGTGTCAAGGTGGGTCTTGCACTGGATGGTATGAGCTCTTTCAAGTGGGGCTGGTGGTCGAGTGAAGGTGAGCAGACGCTGCCACCAGCAGCAGCAGCAGCAGCAGCAGGAGGGGCACACAGAGTTTGAGGATGGGGAGAGCCCACACGTTGTGGGCGACTGTGTCAAGGTGGGTCGTAAGTGGGATGGTATGGGCTGTTGCTGGCTGGGCCGGTGGATGAGTGAAGCTGCGCTGGTGCTTGAGTGTGAAGGTGAGAAGACGGCAGCAGCAGCAGCAGCAGCAGGGGCACACGGAGTTTGAGGATGGGGAGAACCCACACGTTGTGGGCGACTGTGTCAAGGTGGGTGGGTCGTTAACCGGATGGATGAGCTGTAGCAAAGCAATGTGGGCTGCTGGTTGGATATGAAGGTGAGCAGGCGGCCCCACCAGCAGCAGCAGGAGGGGCACACGGAGTTTGAGGATGGGGAGAACCCACACGTTGTGGGCGACTGTGTCAAGGTGGGTCTTAAGTGGGATAGTATAGGCTGTTGCTGGCTGGGCTGGTGGATGAGGGAAGCTGCACTGGTGCTTGAGTGTGAAGGTGACTAGACGCCCCCACCCCAACAGCTGCAGTCGGGGCACACGGAGTTTGAGGATGGGGAGAACCCACACGTTGTGGGCGACTGTGTCAAGGTGGGCCTTAAGTGGGATGTTATGGACTGTTGCTGGCTGGGCTTGTGGATAAGTGAAGCTGCGCTGGTGCTTGAGTGTGAAGGTGAGCAGACGCCCCCACCCCAGCAGCAGCAGGAGGGGCACACGGAGTTTGAGGATGGGGAGAACCCACACGTTGTGGGCGACTGTGTCAAGGTGGGCCTTAAGTGGGATGTTATGGACTGTTGCTGGCTGGGCTTGTGGATAAGTGAAGCTGCGCTGGTGCTTGAGTGTGAAGGTGAGCAGACGCCCCCACCCCAGCAGCAGCAGGAGGGGCACACGGAGTTTGAGGATGGGGAGAACCCACACGTTGTGGGCGACTGTGTCAAGGTGGGTCTTAAGTGGGATAGTATGGGCTGTTGCTGGCTGGGCTGGTGGATGAGGGAAGCTGCACTGGTGCTTGAGTGTGAAGGTGACTAGACGCCCCCACCCCAACAGCTGCAGTCGGGGCACACGGAGTTTGAGGATGGGGAGAACCCACACGTTGTGGGCGACTGTGTCAAGGTGGGCCTTAAGTGGGATGTTATGGACTGTTGCTGGCTGGGCTTGTGGATAAGTGAAGCTGCGCTGGTGCTTGAGTGTGAAGGTGAGCAGACGCCCCCACCCCAGCAGCAGCAGGAGGGGCACACGGAGTTTGAGGATGGGGAGAACCCACACGTTGTGGGCGACTGTGTCAAGGTGGGCCTTAAGTGGGATGTTATGGACTGTTGCTGGCTGGGCTTGTGGATAAGTGAAGCTGCGCTGGTGCTTGAGTGTGAAGGTGAGCAGACGCCCCCACCCCAGCAGCAGCAGGAGGGGCACACGGAGTTTGAGGATGGGGAGAACCCACACGTTGTGGGCGACTGTGTCAAGGTGGGCCTTAAGTGGGATGTTATGGACTGTTGCTGGCTGGGCTTGTGGATAAGTGAAGCTGCGCTGGTGCTTGAGTGTGAAGGTGAGCAGACGCCCCCACCCCAGCAGCAGCAGGAGGGGCACACGGAGTTTGAGGATGGGGAGAACCCACACGTTGTGGGCGACTGTGTCAAGGTGGGCCTTAAGTGGGATGTTATGGACTGTTGCTGGCTGGGCTTGTGGATAAGTGAAGTTGCGCTGGTGCTTGAGTGTGAAGGTGAGCAGACGCCCCCACCCCAGCAGCAGCAGGAGGGGCACACGGAGTTTGAGGATGGGGAGAACCCACACGTTGTGGGCGACTGTGTCAAGGTGGGTCTTAAGTGGGATAGTATGGGCTGTTGCTGGCTGGGCTGGTGGATGAGGGAAGCTGCACTGGTGCTTGAGTGTGAAGGTGACTAGACGCCCCCACCCCAACAGCTGCAGTCGGGGCACACGGAGTTTGAGGATGGGGAGAACCCACACGTTGTGGGCGACTGTGTCAAGGTGGGCCTTAAGTGGGATGTTATGGACTGTTGCTGGCTGGGCTTGTGGATAAGTGAAGCTGCGCTGGTGCTTGAGTGTGAAGGTGAGCAGACGCCCCCACCCCAGCAGCAGCAGGAGGGGCACACGGAGTTTGAGGATGGGGAGAACCCACACGTTGTGGGCGACTGTGTCAAGGTGGGCCTTAAGTGGGATGTTATGGACTGTTGCTGGCTGGGCTTGTGGATAAGTGAAGCTGCGCTGGTGCTTGAGTGTGAAGGTGAGCAGACGCCCCCACCCCAGCAGCAGCAGGAGGGGCACACGGAGTTTGAGGATGGGGAGAACCCACACGTTGTGGGCGACTGTGTCAAGGTGGGCCTTAAGTGGGATGTTATGGACTGTTGCTGGCTGGGCTTGTGGATAAGTGAAGCTGCGCTGGTGCTTGAGTGTGAAGGTGAGCAGACGCCCCCACCCCAGCAGCAGCAGGAGGGGCACACGGAGTTTGAGGATGGGGAGAACCCACACGTTGTGGGCGACTGTGTCAAGGTGGGCCTTAAGTGGGATGTTATGGACTGTTGCTGGCTGGGCTTGTGGATAAGTGAAGCTGCGCTGGTGCTTGAGTGTGAAGGTGAGCAGACGCCCCCACCCCAGCAGCAGCAGGAGGGGCACACGGAGTTTGAGGATGGGGAGAACCCACACGTTGTGGGCGACTGTGTCAAGGTGGGCCTTAAGTGGGATGTTATGGACTGTTGCTGGCTGGGCTTGTGGATAAGTGAAGCTGCGCTGGTGCTTGAGTGTGAAGGTGAGCAGACGCCCCCACCCCAGCAGCAGCAGGAGGGGCACACGGAGTTTGAGGATGGGGAGAACCCACACGTTGTGGGCGACTGTGTCAAGGTGGGCCTTAAGTGGGATGTTATGGACTGTTGCTGGCTGGGCTTGTGGATAAGTGAAGCTGCGCTGGTGCTTGAGTGTGAAGGTGAGCAGACGCCCCCACCCCAGCAGCAGCAGGAGGGGCACACGGAGTTTGAGGATGGGGAGAACCCACACGTTGTGGGCGACTGTGTCAAGGTGGGCCTTAAGTGGGATGTTATGGACTGTTGCTGGCTGGGCTTGTGGATAAGTGAAGCTGCGCTGGTGCTTGAGTGTGAAGGTGAGCAGACGCCCCCACCCCAGCAGCAGCAGGAGGGGCACACGGAGTTTGAGGATGGGGAGAACCCACACGTTGTGGGCGACTGTGTCAAGGTGGGCCTTAAGTGGGATGTTATGGACTGTTGCTGGCTGGGCTTGTGGATAAGTGAAGCTGCGCTGGTGCTTGAGTGTGAAGGTGAGCAGACGCCCCCACCCCAGCAGCAGCAGGAGGGGCACACGGAGTTTGAGGATGGGGAGAACCCACACGTTGTGGGCGACTGTGTCAAGGTGGGCCTTAAGTGGGATGTTATGGACTGTTGCTGGCTGGGCTTGTGGATAAGTGAAGCTGCGCTGGTGCTTGAGTGTGAAGGTGAGCAGACGCCCCCACCCCAGCAGCAGCAGGAGGGGCACACGGAGTTTGAGGATGGGGAGAACCCACACGTTGTGGGCGACTGTGTCAAGGTGGGTCTTAAGTGGGATAGTATGGGCTGTTGCTGGCTGGGCTGGTGGATGAGGGAAGCTGCACTGGTGCTTGAGTGTGAAGGTGACTAGACGCCCCCACCCCAACAGCTGCAGTCGGGGCACACGGAGTTTGAGGATGGGGAGAACCCACACGTTGTGGGCGACTGTGTCAAGGTGGGCCTTAAGTGGGATGTTATGGACTGTTGCTGGCTGGGCTTGTGGATAAGTGAAGCTGCGCTGGTGCTTGAGTGTGAAGGTGAGCAGACGCCCCCACCCCAGCAGCAGCAGGAGGGGCACACGGAGTTTGAGGATGGGGAGAACCCACACGTTGTGGGCGACTGTGTCAAGGTGGGCCTTAAGTGGGATGTTATGGACTGTTGCTGGCTGGGCTTGTGGATAAGTGAAGCTGCGCTGGTGCTTGAGTGTGAAGGTGAGCAGACGCCCCCACCCCAGCAGCAGCAGGAGGGGCACACGGAGTTTGAGGATGGGGAGAACCCACACGTTGTGGGCGACTGTGTCAAGGTGGGCCTTAAGTGGGATGTTATGGACTGTTGCTGGCTGGGCTTGTGGATAAGTGAAGCTGCGCTGGTGCTTGAGTGTGAAGGTGAGCAGACGCCCCCACCCCAGCAGCAGCAGGAGGGGCACACGGAGTTTGAGGATGGGGAGAACCCACACGTTGTGGGCGACTGTGTCAAGGTGGGCCTTAAGTGGGATGTTATGGACTGTTGCTGGCTGGGCTTGTGGATAAGTGAAGCTGCGCTGGTGCTTGAGTGTGAAGGTGAGCAGACGCCCCCACCCCAGCAGCAGCAGGAGGGGCACACGGAGTTTGAGGATGGGGAGAACCCACACGTTGTGGGCGACTGTGTCAAGGTGGGCCTTAAGTGGGATGTTATGGACTGTTGCTGGCTGGGCTTGTGGATAAGTGAAGCTGCGCTGGTGCTTGAGTGTGAAGGTGAGCAGACGCCCCCACCCCAGCAGCAGCAGGAGGGGCACACGGAGTTTGAGGATGGGGAGAACCCACACGTTGTGGGCGACTGTGTCAAGGTGGGTCTTAAGTGGGATAGTATGGGCTGTTGCTGGCTGGGCTGGTGGATGAGGGAAGCTGCACTGGTGCTTGAGTGTGAAGGTGACTAGACGCCCCCACCCCAACAGCTGCAGTCGGGGCACACGGAGTTTGAGGATGGGGAGAACCCACACGTTGTGGGCGACTGTGTCAAGGTGGGCCTTAAGTGGGATGTTATGGACTGTTGCTGGCTGGGCTTGTGGATAAGTGAAGCTGCGCTGGTGCTTGAGTGTGAAGGTGAGCAGACGCCCCCACCCCAGCAGCAGCAGGAGGGGCACACGGAGTTTGAGGATGGGGAGAACCCACACGTTGTGG